CATCTAGGGAACGTGGCAGAGTTTATCCAAATAGCTTGTTTACTCACATGGTCCTAAGACCAAACTTTGATCATCCGAGGGTGCATGATTGCTCTGTACTGGGGGTCAGCAATGTTAATTACACTCTAGTGGTGTTTACTCGAGATCTTTGTCATTTACTCTGTACTAAATAATGCGAACTCTGCCACCTCATCGAGGCCAACAATGCAGACTCACGCAGCAGAGCCCCTGAGTCGCACTGACAGGCAAAATATCTATTTCAGTGTAGGTCTCTCATCCCTTGCTAGGTCAGGTTCCACAGGATGGAACCCGCAGGTGGTGCCCCGCAAGATGAATGCTGCAAAAGCATCACGACGGACCACTCAAAAATGAAGGTGAAAAGGACTTCGCAGTAAGTGAGTCAGTAAGTCATTGGTGCCCACTCGGGATTTCCAAGTTCGGGGAGAATTGTTCAGGCTAGGGTTTCATCATGGGACAACAATTATCAGCAGAAACAGTATATAAAAGTATTGAAAAAGCTGCTTAAAGTTAGTGGAGCCTCGGTATCGCAGGTTCAATTAAGGGACCTAATGCAAACTGTTGTATTCCATAACCCATGGTTATGGAATTCCAAATTCAGCTCAACAAATGGTTTTTAGACAAAGTTTTAATGGAGTACAATCATGCCTATTTCCTCACACACTATCTATGACTGCTTTCATGCTACAATGGCAGAGTTGGAAAGCTGTGATAGAGACCACATCACCTAACATATTTCCTGTTTGGCCCTTTACAGGAGAAGTTTGCAAATCTCTGGTTTGTACCATGACCAGAATGCCCTAATACTTTAATCTAATCTTGGGACTCCGCTGCTCAAACAACTCCAATGAATCCCTGCAGAAAACATTGCTGGCTTCCTACACATAACCATTATTTATTCTTTCTTGCTACAGAAACACAAGTTAATTTATATATTTATTATCCCATTACTCCCATCTCATCTACAAAATGAGAAATGATTCTAAGCTAATCACACTAATCACATTTGCTTTTCTAGTGACTGGTACAAATGAGTATTTGTACTTGGGATGTTGATGCAGGAGAAAGACTTGAGTCTGGGAGGCAGAGGTGGTAGTGAGCTGAGATCACGCCATTGCACTCCAGCAGGAGCGAAAGAGTGAAACTCTGTCTCCAAAAAGATAAATATTTAAAATGTATTCCTGTATGTTAAATATTTTCACTTTAATTTTTAACATTAATTGAAGCAGTAAATACTCCCACTTCAATAAAAGCTCTCTGATACAAGCTGTCATTTAATGTTGACTTTTAGTGGCTATGAAAGACAGCCTAATTAAATGCTTTTAGAGTTAAAATGACAAACTATGAGGCCTTAAATCAAAGTGGAGCTAATTGTATTAAGTACAACTAAAACACATGATAAGTAAACAAAAAAGGAATTTCCAATATAATATGTACAGTACAGTAAGATAAGAAAACAAATTCTACATATAGTCTATAACTGCACACATATGTTGAGAATTTTTGTTTTTTTGTTTGCTTTTTGAGATGGAGTCTCACTCTGTCACTTAGGCTAAAGTGGCACAACCTCAGCTCACTGTAACTTCTGCCTCCTAGGTTCAAGAGATTTTCCTGCCTCAGCCTCCAGTGTAGCTCAGATTACAGGCACCCACCACCACAACTGGCTATTTTTTGTTATTGTTAGTAGAGATGGGGATTCACTATGTTGACCAGGCTGCTCTGGGACTCCTGACCTTAAGTTACTTGCCTGCCTTGGTCTCCCAAAATGCTAGGATTACAGGCATGTGCCACTGTGCACAGCCTGTTGTAAAATGTTTTAAACATGCATGGAAATGACAACAAAAACTAATTCAGGCTGTTTTGTACCTCTAGGCAATTAATTACAGTAGCATAAAAAGACACCAAGGCCAAATGCTTTGGAGTCACTCTTCTAAAACACTGTGTAGCAAAGAGTCATCAAGGAATGATTGCTTGACTTACTTTTTAATATTATAAGTCACACTCACACACACATTCAGTCAGCTAATTAAAAAGAAAAAAAAACTGATTTTCTTTAGATTCTCAGAGTAACAACACTCACAACTGTCATGTCAGCAAGTGAAATTTTCCTCTAGGTAAATAGCAGAATTCCAATCAGTATTTGAACCACTGCAAATATTTGACAGTCTCAAATTTCACCTGCCTTAAAACCAAGCACATACAGAAATTGCAAGTTGGAAACTTTATACTATCAGGACATTAAAGTAGAACCACATGAAGTAAAGCGGATTTTTTTTTTTTTTAAAATCTCTAAATCTTATGCTTGTAAATGGCATTTTTTCAAACATAAATACTAACATTGGCATTATTTGTATCAAATTTTCCCATCAAATTTTGAAAAGAAAACAACATTGGGAATATAAGGCTCTCAGCATTTCAAATATTTTAATATTCTTCTTTCCAGAGTAAAATTAAAATTACAAAATTTACCTGCTTTGAATGTTTGTATATGCTTCATTTCTAAGGCTTTATTTGGAATAGAAACTTTCATTCCACAAGTAGGCTAAATGGGTTTGGAAACAAAATAATTAATATATAATGTATACTTCATAAAATATGTAGTTAATACTCAAGATAAAAATATAAAAGGTATTACCTTCAGAAGACCATCTTTATGAGGAGACTCTAAAAGAAAAGGGACGTATATAATTGATTATGTGCAAGCCTGTCAAAGCCTACCAAACATTCATACAGTGTGAATATGAAGATGAATCCTCATGCTTGGATTGGAAAGAGATTACACTAGGTTTCAGGGTCTTTTGGGTGATTGTATTTGTTAACATGCCTACTTGACAGAAATATACCTAAGAAAATTTCAAAAATAGATTTCACCAAACATGCTGTGAAGATTTCAACAGTGAAAATATATTTAAAGTGACAATAACTAAAACACAAAAATCCTAATAGAAGTAAGAGTAAGCTGCTGTATAAGGAAAGAAGTTGTATTCAATAAGATGACCAAGTCATGCCCCCACCACCCCCCAACAAAAATAAATACCCAAGATAATGGTAGAATGCAATATTTTATTGTTAAGGAAACACATCAGAATCACTTATGTCAATATACTACATGTAGCTATTATGTTCTTCAATTTGTCCTGTAATTTAGGAATTGCAAAGCTGTGACGAGAGTTCAAAGGTACAATTTACTTATCATTACAGAGAATGTTCTAAATTTATCAGCATATCTACATATAGAATAAAAGTTAATAAACATATTCATTTTTGTACCTCTGTGAAATACAAGTATTTTTACATTGATGGGGTTCTCTAGCTTAGTTCTCTTAAAATTTCCTGATCCACTTATACAAAAACGTTCAAGCACACCCATCAACAAACCAATATAGGCCAGGTGCAGTGGCTCATGCCTGTAACTCCAGCACTTTGGAAGGCTGAGGAGGGCGGATCTCTTGAGGCCAGGAGTTCCAAACCAGCCTGGATAAAATAGCGAAACGCAGTCTCCACTAAAAATACAAAAATCAGCCAGGTATGGTGGCACATGCCTGTATTCCCAGCTACATGGGAGTCTGAGGTACGAGAATCACTTGAACCCAGGAGGCGGAGGTTGCACTGAGCCAAGATCATGACACTGCACGCCAGCCTGGATGACAGAGCAAGATACTGTCTCAATAAAAGAAAAAAAAAGAAATTTAATATGAAAGTATCAAAAACTAGAAGTAAACTTCCAGAGGCTTTTTACATATCATTAACCTGTGTATTTCAATGTTAGAATAATGGTTATTGAAAATAACAGTTTTAGTGTTCAAAGAATGTATATTACAATTGTTTTGTTTCTAAAATTAATTCTATCTGTTCTACCATGTGAGTTGTTAAACTACTGTTATGAAAAAATTCTTATAGAAAAAAAGCTTCAAGAAAAAGTAGACATCTCTTTGATATAGAAATATATCTCATTTCATCAAATAATATGAATAAAACATGTTTAATCTCTCATTTTTCCCTACTTTTTTTTTTCAGTATGACACACTTTAGTACATTTAGAAATACCAACTACATATGTGGTTTTCTTTGAGAGATAATTGATCAGTAATTAAGACACTCAGGGATATAAACTCTCTAAAACACACAAAATTTAACTCTAAAACACACAAAATTTATAAGGTCTACCTACTTGAAGGCTAAATATGCACACCACATTGCATGTATGTGTTTTAGAAAAAGTGTTTAAAATTGTATTCACACACTTTAAAACAAAACCTGCTTTAATTACAAATGAGAAGGTCCTTCTTTATCTATTAATATCTTTAAAATTTACTTCTGAAGCAGTGAAGAAACCGTGAAATTCCATATGCAGAAAATGATACCATTAATTCATCTGCTTGTTTTAGGTAAAAATTTGATAAATGTACATCCTCACCATGCAAAGAAAGCAGAGTGTCATGAGACAGGAAATGAATACGAATTCAAAATATTTTCCTTATAAAGACAATATTACTAAACTTTCTAACACAAGATAAAAAAAAGCAACACAAACAGATGAAACATTAAGGGCTATCTCATCATCAAGGAACCATTTATCACTTGGCACTTAAGTAGTCCATGTATGCTGAAAACTGGTTCTAAATGGTATCTTGATAATCCCTGAAGTTCAAAAAATCCATGCAGAGGAACCAGGTAGGAAATACTACCATATATTTTTTTTTGTTACTTTATTTTTATAAAGGGGTACACTGGAGTTTTTTAGAGTCAGGACAGGTCAGCTGGCATGGCCTTCCAGATTAGTGAGCCATGATTTATAATGGCATTAAATGTATGGCTGTGCATACTTGTATTTTGAGTACTGAGCACTTCACTTTAATTTCTAATATAGCATGAAGTAGGATATACGCTTTAACAAAGGCTTCGTTTAACACCTGTAATTATATTTACGCTTGTTTTTTAGTCACCACGAAGAGAGTCTAATTGAAATGGTGCAAAGTAAAATGCACACTATGAATTTTTTTCTTTTTTGATGAGTCTGTCCCTGTGGGCCCAGGCTGAAGTGCAGTGCTGTAGTCTGGGCTCACTGCAAGGCGCCTCCTGGGTTCACGCCATTCTTCCTGCCTCAGCCTCCGAATAGTTGGGACTACAGGTTTCACCCTACTATGCCCGGCTAATTTTTTGTATTTTACTAGAGATGTTTCACCATGTTAGCCAGGATGGTCTCCGAACTCCCTGACCTCGTGATCCGCCACCTCAGCCTCCCAATGTACTGGGATTACAAATCGTTAGCCACCCTGCAAGACAGCCTGAAATCTTAAAAAATAAAATTAAAAATGAGCTAATCACTGAACAAAAAATAAAAAGCGTAGAATGATGCAAGAACATTGTACAACCATTTATGAATAATTTTTGCAAAAGTGTTAATACCAATACATATGCTCAGATGAGAGAGAAGTGATCTTGAATCAGAGGAGCAAATCATGATAATTGAGAAAAATAAATGCAAAGCTGAACGCTGAATGCTACACCAGGTTCTTACAATACATTATAATAATTTATATCGCCAGGCGGTGTGTGGCTCAAGCCTGTAATCCCACTTTGGGAGGGCGAGGAGGATCACGAGGTCAGGAGATCGAGACCAATTTACAACCCGTGAACCCCGTTTCTACTAAAAAAAAAAATACAAAAACTAGCTGCGCGAAGGCGGGCGCCTGTAGTCCCAGCTACTCGGGAGGCTGAGGCAGGAGAATGGCGTAGGCCCGGGAGGCGGAGCTTGCAGTGAGCCCAGATCCTGCCACTGCACTCCAGCCTGGGCGACAGAGCGAGACTCCATCTCAAAAATAATAATAATAGTAATAGTGATAATTTATATCATTACATTACAAACATTCATCATGTTCTTTAATATGCCCTGTCATTGAGAAAGTACACAGTTTGAATGAGAGTTCAGCTGAATGTAGAATTAACATCTCATCAGTGAAAATGTTATGAATTAATCAGCTTGGATATATACTTATGGTACAATACTAAACATAAATATTCATTGATTTTCATACCCATATGGTATAATAGTATGCCAACATTTTTGTAATTTATAGCTTAGCCATCTCAGTATTTCTTGATCCACCTGCGGAGGAAAACAAACTCCCCATCAAGAATAGCAAATTTAATAAGCTTTCAATATTGATATATTTGTTTTTAATTTATTTGCAACAGACTTGTTAAAGCCATTAATAAACATTTTCATGTAAAAATCAGCATCATACCTATGAATGTTTAACAACTTAAGTATTCAAGCTGGTAACTAATTCTTATGGTTTCCCAAATTGGGTCTGGTTTGGTATCATGTTATTCTCAATGCAATTTTTATAAATGGCAATTTTACTCAACACAATTTGTTTCTTAACAATAATGCTAAGCCATGTTCTTACATTCAAGCATCTTTATTCAAATTGTAATATCAACAAAATATATACATATATATATTTGATGCCTCATTAATAAAGAAATTAATGAGACACTGAGGTTTAGTCCAGTCTCTACTAACCCTCATGATTCCAAATGCCTCCGCACCAACACTTCAACATTCTGCAGTAAAAATATTCTAAATGCTTCTGAAGTGAGTTCACCAATTTTCCTTCAGAAAATCCAAATAATCTGGTAACTGACTTCTCTTGTCTCCTGCTTCTGCCCCACAATCTCTCCTCTTTAGTAAAAATAATCTCTAGACTTGTGCTCTGATTCTTTCCTATTCACACCTGTTAAACTTCTTTTTTCCCACCTCTTTCCTTTGTCTTTATTTAGTGGTAATATCTTCCTTCTATCATTTCCCCATTGTGTTGTCTCTCTCTTCCTTCTTCACCTCTGGCTCAAAATACACTCAAAAATAAGATCAACATAATCCTTTCCCTGACCTGTTTCTGTACTGCAACCTCTCTACCCAATTGTTCTCTTCCATATTTTTCCAAGAATGGCTCTCTCCTCTTGCTACCTAGAGCAAGGTCCAAGGGATAACCAGCATCAGCATCACCTGAGAACTTACTAAACATGCAGAATCCCAAGTTGGCTGAATCACAGTGTGAATTGTTAACAAGGTTTCCAGCTGATTTTCATGAAAACTTCTGTACATATGGATTGTATATGGATAACACAGCATGTGGGCTGCATATATGCTACCTCACCTACTGCAAATAGAACACAGTTCTCCATGGTCATAAGCTCATCCCTAATGGCTTCCCACTGAGTGAGAACACAGGAAAAAATCAGGAATACCTTTGCTGTAATTCTCTGGTACCTGGTAATTAGAAGGACACTTTTATTCTTCCCAAATTCTAACCATACCTAATCTCTTTTAAAGAATCATTTCATTTTATCATCCTCCATTATATAAACATGCTTCCTGTTCCTTCATGTACTCTCTGTACACTCTGTCTCTCCTTAGTCTCATTTCCCTCTTACTACTTTCTTTCTTTCTATTTTCTATTTCAGTCTTGGAATATCTTGAATTCGAACTAGTAATTCAGCTCCGTTTCAGCACTCTCTATTATAGTCTGTTGCCAACACCTGATAAGACATAAGGAATTTTCACCATTTCACTTCTCTTTTTTCCGTGGCTTTTGCATTTAGGAGGTAATTTTTTGGCTAATAGGAGGACATCCCTTCCTCACTAGTTTAGAGAAATATTTTGGTCAAATGACTCTTTAAATAAAAATGGCTTTACTTTCTTAATTCCTTCACTTATCGATGTGGAGTTCTTTTTGAGGTGTAGCTTCTCGTAAACACACACCCTGTGAAACAGTCTCACTGACACTCTGTTAAAAGCAATATCAGTAAACACCTCTAATGGAAAATCCTAATAATAGTAAGTATCAAAATTTCCTAATTAAAATCTTTTAAAAAAATTTCACTATGAGGCAGTAATCTAATGTAGTATATAGATTTTCATGAAGTGTATCCTGAAAAATATCAAAAATAATTGGGGTGGTATATGCAGATGTGAGAAGATAAAGTCTAAGTTTGATTTTATGTTTTCAAGTATCATGCAATACTACTATTAAAAAACATTGATAATATTAAGGTGTACTCTAAATCCCAAGAATTTTCTTCTCCTTTTTGTTTGGTTTCTGATGGGATCATCCGATCTATAAAAGGTTAATAACAGATACATTCATGAGAACATTTCTCTACTATAAATTTTAAAAACATATACAATTCTTTCATTAATTAATCTGTGGTTTTTCCTCTGTAGCTCCGTGGATATTCTTTTATCGATTACAATCACTACTTCTGTAGTCAACCATCAGAGTTGGAAATCTGAGTGTCTGAAAATTAACATTATATCATTCATTAGAATGCAGAAAAATAGAAAACTGATTAACTTGCATGAAGCATTTCCTCACAAAGCAGTCATTGGGTACCTCTTCTTCTCCTATGAGAAAACACTGTATGTCCTATATTTGCTGTTCATTCAGAAAACTTTCTATTACCTATCACTTCTCATTTCCTTTGTAAATTTTTATTTTGTAGTATGTCTTAGCTCAATTGACTCAGCAATCTCATTACACGGTGTTCGACAAAAAAAAGATGATTTATCAACGAATAAGGTTTTTAGGAATATTAACTTTGATGTTAGTAAAATTATATGTCCAACTCCTTTTACATTTCGATATGCCATGATAGCATATTGGCTATGCGGTGTTTTGGCTGTGTATATGTTTTAGGAATATAAGCTTAAAAATCTTTTATTGCAATAAATTGAAAACTGCTTTAATTACAACGACACAGTTCTTCCCCTTTAATGGCAGCAATACCTTCAGAGTCAGGTTGTGACACCTGAGAAACATCAGAAAATGTATAGGAAACAGTAATTGCCTTAAGTGTCCTAATGTTCCTACATATTAGTAGGATAAAAATCAAGGCTCATGACAAGACTTGAGCTCTCAGGCCTACAAGTAGATGAAATGAATTTGTACCAAAAATAACTCAGAGCAAATCCAAGGACCATCCGCATCAGCATCATCTGATAACTTATTAAAATGCAGAATCCCAAGTCATTAACTACAGTGTGAATTGTTAACAAGATTCTCAGCTGATTTTCTATGAAAACTCCTGGTCTATATGGAGTGTATATGACAAATTATATATATGTATGGCCGTGCATATACACTTTAGTCTCACTCTATTGCAAATAGAATACAACTCTCCATGGTCCGGTGTGTTTGCATCCCTTTAATGGCTTTCCCACCAGTGAGAAAGATATGAAGAGTCAGAATACTTTGCTGCTATTCTCTCTGGTAAATTCCCCAGTACTGAAGGTCCGCTTATATTCTCTCGCAAATTTCTAACCATATCCAATCTACTCTGTGAAAGAATCATTTTTTTATTATCCTCCATTATATAACCATGCTTCCTGTTCCTTCATGTATTCTCTCGTACACTCTGTCTTTCTCAGTCTTTATTTCCTCTTTACTTTTTACTTTCTTCTTTCTATTTTCTTATTTCTCAGGTCTTAACATCGTAATTCAAATCCACACCACCTCCCTTTTCAGCATCAATATAGTCTGTTACTAACACCTGATAAGATTTATAACTTTTCTACCATTTCACTTTCTTTTTTTCCATGTTTTGCATTTAAGAGGTAATTTTCTTTGGTTATTAGAGGATATCCTTCTCGTCAGTTTAGAGAAATATTTGGTCAAATGACTTCTTTAAATAAAAATGGTTCTTACTTTCTAATTTTCCACTTATCGTATGGAATTCTTTTTGAGGTGTAGCCTTGAGTAAACACACATCCTTCTGTGAAACAGTCTCACGGTCACTCTGTTAAAAGTGATATCAATAAACAATATCAATGGAAAAATCCTAATAATGAAAAGTACCAAAAATTTCCTAATTAAAATCTTTTAAAAAATTTCCACTTATGATGCAATAATCTATCAGTACATAGATTAGTATTCTGAAAGTGTATTAAGTGTATCCTGAAAAATATCAAAAATAACTTGGGGGTGACATATGCAGAGGTGAGAAGATAAAGTCTGCTTCTGATTTTATAAGCCTTGTATCATGCAATACTAATATTAAAAACATTGATAATACATAGTACCCTCTAAATCCTAAGAATTTTCTTCTTTGTCCTTTTGTTTGGATTCTGATGGGATCATCTGATCTATAAAAAGTTAATCACAGACACATTGATGAGAATATTTTCTACTATAAATTTTTAAAAAATAAATACAAATTTTTCATTCACGAATCTGTGGTTTTTCCTCCGTAGCCCGTAGATACTCTTTTATTGATTACAATCACTACTTCTATAGTCAATCCATTAGAATTGAAATCTAAAACATCTGAAAATTAACATTATATCATCTATTAGAATGCAGAAAATAGAAATTTGACTACCTTGTATCAATTATTTCCCTCGCTGTGCCAGCTACACCTCTTCTCCCCGGTGAAACACTGTATGTCTTTTTTTTATTATTGTTCATTCAGAAAACTTTACCTATCATCTCTCATTTCTTTGTAAATTTTTATTGTGTAGTATATCTTAGCTCGATTGACCTTTCAGCAGTCTTTATTACACAGTTCATCAAAAATATGATTTATCAACTAATAAGATTTTTTAGGATATTAACTTTTGATGTTAGTAAACTATATGTCCAATGCTTACATTTCAATACACCATGACAGCCTATTGCGTGTTTGCTTCGCTTATGTTTTAGGAAGATATGTTAAAAATACTTTTATTGTATATAATTAAAGAACTGTTTTTAATTACAAAGATACAGTTCTTCCCTAAAGCAGCAATATCTTCAGAGTTCGCTTGTGACACCTTTGAGAGAAACATCAGAAATGCACAGGAACAATAATCAGTTTTAAGTAACCTAATGTTCCTACATGTTATAGGATAAAAAATCAAGGCTCCATAGAAAACTTGAGGAGCTCTCAGGCTCCCTTGAGACAGAAAATGAATTTACGCTAAAAAATAATCTCGTATTAACATCAGTACAGTAGCTACGTATAACAACAATTTAAGTATTCAAGTAAAACATTCTGAATTTTCTTTCTTCTTCTTCTTCTCTGGCTAAAAATGTACTCAAAAATAAGAGCAACATAATGCTTTCTCCTGACCCTTTTCTGTCTTCACCTTCTATATCCGATTGCTCTTCCTCCACATTTCTCCCACCAAAGGCCTCTCCTCTTGCTACTCAGAGCAAGGTCCAAGGACAACCAGCATCAGCATCGCCTGACAACTTATTAAAAATGCAGAATCCCAAGTCGGCTGAATCACAGTGTGAATTGTTAACAAGGTTCTCAGCTGATTTTCTATGAAAACTTCTGGTCCATATGGAGTGCATATGATAAATTATATACATGTGTGGCCGTGCATATATGCTTACTCTCACCTATTGCAAATAGAACACAGCTCTCCATGGTCAGGTGCTTCCATCCCTAATGGCTTCCCACCAGTGAGAAAGACGGGAAGAGTCACAACATTTTTAAGCTAATTCTCTGGTAAGTTCTGGTACTAGAAGGTCACTTTATGTTCTTCCCAAATTTCTAACCATACCCGATCTTTTCCTAAAGAATCCTTTCATTTTACCATCCTCCATTATATTAAACCTGCTTCTTGTTCCTTCCTGTACTCTGTGTACTGTCTGTCTTTCTCAGTCTTCATTTCCTCTTTTACTACTGTCTTCTTTCTTATTTTCTCATTTTCCTCAGGTCTTGGAATATCTTGAATTCAAACTAATAATTCAGATAACTTTCAGCGCTCTCAATGTAGTCTGTTGCTAAAATCTGATAAGATGTACAATTTACTACCCATTTCAATTCTGTTTTTTTCTATGTTTGCATTTAGGAGGTGATTTTCTTTGGCTATTAGGGGATATTCCTCCTCATCAGTTTAGAGAAATATTTGGTCAAATGACATTTTAAATAAAAAATGATTCTTACCTTCTAATTTTCCACTTATTGTATCGAATTCTTTTCGATGTGTAGCCTTGGGTAAATACACATCATTCTGTAAAAGATTCTCAAGGAAATTCTGTTAAAAGTAATATCAATAAATAATTTCAACGGAGAAATCCCAATAATGAAGAGTATCAAAATTTCCTAAATAAACTCTTTTGGAAAAACACAGTTTCCTACTTTACAAGCAATTCGACTTAAGAGCAGACGTGTGTTGAAACCCAAAACATTTTGATAGAAAACCTCAAGTAACACTCTCTACATCAAGCTTGTCTGTACGTTCATGACGCTATGAACTTGGTTAGTGAGAAGGAAAAACAAATCACATTCACGAAATAATTCACTCCTGCGTATTTCAAAAAGTAACTCTCTCAAAAATATCTAACTTGTGTTGTAGTCCTCATCACAAATAAGCATGACATTTCAAACAAAATACAATACACTTGCTAGTTGCCATAACAGTAATCCCAGCACTTTCGGCAGCTGAGGCGAGTGGATCACCTGAGGTCAGGAGTTCAAGAACAGCCTGGCCAATAAGGTGAAACACCATCTCTTACTAAAATCACAAAGTTAGCCAGGCATGATGTCGGGTGCCGGTAATCCCAGTTACTGGGGAGGTTGAGCACAGGAGCCGCTGAACCTGGTAGGTGAAGATTGCAGTGAGCGGAGATCCCACCACTGCAATTCAGCTTAGGTGACAGAGAAACTCTCTCTCTTAAAAAAAAAAAAAAAAATCACAAATTGTTTACTAACAGCTGAGAAGACAGGTAAATTAATACGACAGAATAGAAAATCCAGAAATAACCCAAACATATGTAAGAATTTAGAACTTGGTAATGGTCACACTTTATACTAGTAGGAAAAGAATTAGTTTCCTAAGTAAAATGCCTGCTTTTTGGAGAAAATTAGATTTTATGCCAGAAAATAAGTTCCTGATAATGAGAGATTAAAAGTTTTTAATGTACAAAATGATAAAAATAACAGAAGAAAACATATATGCCTATTTACACAGATATATTTTTATGTTAACAAAACTTTTTCTAAGATTGTCAGAAGCAAGCATTCTGAAGGGCAATTTAGTAAAACAAAAATTAAAACCACCCTGCATATGACAAAAATAAAAGGCAGCACAATTCTGTAAAAATATTTACTATATGTGTGTGTGTGTGTATATATATATATTAGATTTAAAACTCTTCATTTTATAGAGAATTCACTCAAATCCACAAAATCCCTCTAATTTAAAATTGGCAATTTAAATTAGAGATTTAAATTGCAGATCTAAAAAGTACTTGGCCTGTAATTTAAAATTGGGCAAACTCTTTTTAAGATCTGCAAGTGACCTATGCACAAAGGAAACAATATTTAGTGTTCCCGGTTAGGAAGGCATTGCTGCAGTGTTGAGTCAACATCGTTCTATCCACAAAGTTTGTGGATAAAAGCAGTGATATTTATAGTACTCCCAAAGTTTGGGTTGCAGATGACTTTTCAAATAGAGCAATTTTGATGGAAGTACCTATATTTAAAAAATTGTATATGCCCATTAGTGGTCAATTCTATTACACAAAAATATTTTTAGCAAATAATGAAACATACACACAATTTCTTTTCTGAGCACTGCTTGAAATATCAATGTATTAAAAATCCATTTAATGGCTTTTTATAGTACATTTCAGTGAGTTTACAGCATGGGATAATATGTGATCACCAAGGTAGAAATATATTCAGAAATATGTTGACATTTGGAAAATGTATTTTGCATACTAAGTGAGGGTAAAGTAAAGTCTAGCTTGATTATACATACACAGACTACATTCCCAGGTTATCTGGAAATTATGTACAAATACAAAACTTGTTAAGGACATTTGTTTTTATATAAAATGTTTTTTCCTTTTTTATTATCTTTGATTTCTGCATTGAGCATGGACAATGCTTACAGTAAAGCTATTATTAAATAACATACTTTTGGAAGGAGCAGCAATATGAATTTTACACAACAAAATAGTTTGCTTTCTATATTAATTTTTATTTTTTGTGGATTAGTATGTTTGTGAACTTTTAGCATCTTCAGAAGAACTTTTATCCAAAGCTTATTGATTTCATAAATTTTATTAGACACATTTTTATTATATAGATTTATTACATATGTCAATAACTATAGATTAATCACTTTAGTGTAGTGTTAGGAAAATAAAAGATAAATATAAGTGCTTTATTTATAGCAGTTTTTTAAGATACTGAACTTCCCAACTGTATTGATCCATTCTTTTAATCCATTTATCGCATGTAAGCTGAATGCCTACTATGTAGAAGATGACCAAGACCCTTTTCATCCTTAAAAATTTCACACTTACTTGCTCAGCCTGAGCAAAGTGAGAGATTTAAAATTGGAGTATTAGGATTGAATCTCAATTGCTTTTCCTCTCATCTTTCAAACAAAAACACTTGAAGTAAGAAACTAGTAATTTGAAAATTTATAATAGCTTTCTAAATAGCAATATTAATCATTGAAATACCTAATTTACATGTATTCATAAATCTAAATAGAATTTACATACATTCTAATTCTAAATACAGAATTAGAGAGCCATACCTATTTATTTGAATCCTAAAGTCTCTTTATTTGAAGCTTTTAAAATATTAAAGAAGTACTGTGTTTTAATAATCTGTTGTTTTTATATAACTCTCCTTTTGCTTAGTAATTTGGGTATACAAAATTTTTTCAGTGTTAATCCTGTGACTAGGACTGCCCTTGTCCTGTTGTATATACTATATTCACTTGGAAGGCACTGTGAATTGTGAGATGCCTCCTTATTTTATGCACCCAGTAAAAGATTGTTTAAATTTCTGCCAAACATAGTGTGTAATAAATAATGAATTATAAGTGGTATTTCAACTAAGAAATATAAATATGAGAAATTGAGTATCTTAGAATTCATAAAATACACAGCACTTTAATTTAAATATACTTCATAAAGAGTATATTTGTAATGATGATTTAAATGCTGTCTTTGCTACAGCAGTAACAATTATAGTATCTAAATAAATTACCGAGCTGTTACATGTGCTAGAACTCAAAAATACTTTGCACAGATTCTCGCTGAGGCACCATGATAACCTGCAGATAACTGTATTCATCTTCATTTCATTGATGAGAAAATTGAGGCAGAAATGAAGTGATAAGCAAAGTGGAAGTCTAGTAATATTGTCTAATGAACTGAATCCAGGCAAGTCTCTTCTATTCTTAAGCCACTTCAGATTAAGTTAGTGAAAATGAGAGCAAATGAATATTTGTACTTCTAGAGACATATTTATTTTAAAGGTGGAAAGAGATGATTTAATGTTTACAATTACATAAATAATTGTATGTTTTGAGACAGTGGACTAATTTACAACAAGTCCTCTACTCGTAGGACTGCTCTACACTGGGCCTGTGTCAACGGCTATGTGGCAGCTGTACATTTCCTCTGGTAGACAGAAAGTGCCAGCTTGACGTCCTTATAGTGAAAACAGGACACCTCTAATGAAGGTAAACAGTAGCCAGTTTTTTTCAGCAGGAGATAGATTTAGTTTAAATACATAGACTAAAAATGAATTTATCTCATTGAAATACAACTAGTTTTGAAACCTGTGGAATATTTATTTTGATTTCCTATACTTTATATTCTTTATTATAATAATTCTTGCTTTAATACTGACAGTCTCTACAATGCCAGAGGGAGGATTGTGCAAATATTCTGGTAGACTCTGCAGTTATTCAAATATTGTAGATGTGTATGGCAACACAGCTCTCCATTATGCTGTTTATAATAAGAATTTGTCAGTGGTGGCAAAACTGTCCCACGGTGCAGCACTACCTAAAACGCAAAACAAGGTAGACATTAACTAAATGTTATTTTCAAAATATTTGAAATCAATTTGTTTTAACATTAACATGTGTACGGTTTTTTATATTTGGAAGCTCAAACATCTCCCTTTGAAATGAAATAGCTTGAAAGAAGTTAATTGTCTAAGATTTTACTTTAAATATTTATGTTTTTACAAGAACTATTAGAGAGTATGGCTTTTCTGTGCATTCATGGTAAATATTTGAATTTGTTAAAGGTAAAAGTTTTTCAAATATTCTTTCCCATACAAGTGTTTTTTTTTTCTTTCCAGTTAGTGTAAAACTAGAGTAAAGCAAAATTTGCCTGCATAAATTGAGTCAATGTGTAAAATTTAGAAATACGCAGAAATCTGGGTTTCCTCTTTTAAAGGATTGAATCTGAGTCTCTGAGCCCATATGACTGTTTGTATACTATGAACATTTAGCTTTACATAAAGCATATGTTTCCCAGTTTGGTTTCTGTGCCCACCTAGTTACATCACTTATTTGACTTATCTCTTTTGCCTCTGCAAATATTTCATAGTTATCAATTCTCTTTCATAGTATATTTTGGTAAAGATTTCAAGGTATTCAAGACAGTTGATAGGTGTTTATAATATATAGTTTGTATAGTTTATATTTTACATTAATTCATTAATAAGGTTATTCTTCAGAATTTAGAAGACTCTTTAAACAATGATTTTTTTTCTGTATATAAACCATAAATAATTATCTTGTATTAAAAATGCCTTTAAGCCTTTTTAGATTAATTGCGTTATATTTGAATAGGTTATGCCTATTGCAGAAAATATTACATCCTTCTCCTCAGAATTGTCTCCTAAAATTCAAGGATTTAGTGGCTTCTATTATGCTAATCCACAGATGAGTTAACTTTCATTAATAAGCTTATTTTATCTATATTTTTGATATTTTACAAAAATTACAGAGCAACTACATAGAAACCAGAATAAAAATGGATTGTTGCATTTTAAGAAGTAGATATGCATTAGAATCTTAGGATTATCATTATAATTGAGAATAAACTTTCATACTGAGTTTTTAATAGCTGAGATAAAATTCTATTGTCTTGTAATAGGAGAAACCCCATGGACTATTTAATAATAAGCAATCAAAGTTCATTGAAGTCAATCTCTATTAATTTAGAGTCATTTCCTTAGTGACCCATGCAGAACAGGTGTTTGACATCGGCATCTGGGATCTTGGGATTATTGAGAGAAGAGAATCAAGCAAGTTTGTATTACCCAGAGGAAACCTCCATTTTTCTTGGAAAACTTTCAGATCTGAAATTATAATTTGTCAAATGTTACTGCTCACAGAAATATATTGTCAAATAAGGAATAGTCAAAGTTCAAGTCATTTATTGAATAATGGACATTAATCATGTCTTATAATATTTCTGAAAATAGATACGGTAGAATCTGTTGAGGTATAGTGTCGGTAAGGTAATTATATTCTTTTGAATATAGCTTAAGAAACACTCATTTAGAGGCAACAATTTAGACTACTAAATTTAATGCTGTTATCACTATCATGTCCAGGGCCCAATATCACACATTGACGTCCCATCCC